CATGTATATATGCACGTGCTACAGATGCTGCTGTGTATTGTAAATAAAGAGAATCAGAGCACCCCCTGGTGGACAAACTATGTGATGACACCATATCAAAATCAACCCAAGCAACGGCCCTCTCTGTATTGCATTCTGTAAAATCATTTTCAGTGGTGCACATTGGACAGCAACCAATTTAACTGTGATAGACCAATGTGGACTACTAAAAATCAGGTGATCTATATCAGTCTGACTCTAAGAACTGTGTATGGCCTCGGGTATCAGCACCCAGTTGCACCCTGGATAGCTTTGTTACCACTCACTCTATCAGCCTGTGACAGGACTGATACAGGGTTTGCCAAATTAAATTCTGAGTGGCAATGGAGTTGCCAAACAGTTCCAATCTCTTGCTGCCTTACTGCCAGCTGGCTTTAAAAGAATCATATTTCATTACTTGATTATCTTTCAAAATGTCTGTTGAGGTTTGTGGTGTGGAACTGTTTTGAAACTGCCAGACCAGTGAGGCCATTTTAGTAACATGAACAGAAACTGTCTCACAAGTAATGAGTCCTCTGATCAACTTTCAAAGCCCACTGATCAAACTAACCAGAAAGAATATCAGATGTTAATGATCAGTTACTAATGAATCAGGCCAACTCTAATAATTTTGTACTTCTTCCATTCATTTCATATTACAGGTCTAAATAGTTCACAGGCTAAATATGTTTGATATACACAGAGTAAGACAGGAAGTGTGATGTTTTACCTTAGGTTTGGCACAAAGACCAAAGTCTATGAGCTTCAAATTGTGGTTTTCATCAATCAACAAGTTTTCCTATAGTTCAAGGAGAAAAATATTGCAGCAGCCATTAAAATCATATAAAAAAGCAGATAACACGATACAATTTACTGCACATTCGGTCAGACAGTGGTGGTTTTTACCGGTTTGAGATCTCGGTGTGCATATCCCTGACTATGGACGTAAGCCATCGCTGACACTATCTGTCTGAAGAACACCCTGGTCTCCTCCTCTGTCAGACGGTCCTTTGCTATGATGTAATCAAACAATTCTCCACCTGGGCAGTACTGAGAGAAGAGGGTAAGAAGAGAGGGACACAAAGGAGCCAAATGACTGAACATGACACTATCACACACAATCAAACCTATTATCTGTGTGCATTGTGTAATATTGTGTGCTTACCTCCAGCACCATGAAGATCTGTGTAGAAGTCTCTATGACCTGGTAAAGACGACACACATGCTGGTGACTCAGGTTCTTCATGGCCTCAATCTCCACCTTCACACGCGGCAGATCATCCTGGGGAGAGAGATGACAAATTGTTTTCTCTTTATTCTTACATGTACCTATGGGTGGTTTCCAAAATCCACTGAAGTTTGGACATTTCCCTGAATTTTCCCAGAGTATGTGAGAACGCAAATGCCTGGGCTGTAAACAAAACGTCTTGACTTCAGGCACTATACATCATGCCCTGCCTCCTGCATGCTCTACCCAGGTGCCATCCCTCGCCTGAATGTTCTGAGCATTTTCCTGATGTTATTGTGAACGTGTCCAGACACTTTGCTGCTGCGTTACTTAAATGTGAAAGACAAATGTGCACGTTTCTGGAGTTCCTGTCTGAAAACAGCTTTTTATGGCTTACATCTTCAAAACATTGATGTTTATGTCTGGTGTATTCTGCCTGTCCTCTATGGAGTGAATTTTAAATAGTTTGTTTTTGTACGATTGTGTTATGAAGACCTCCTTGAAGATGAGCAACCTTCCCAATTGTGTGGTAGAAAAGAAGATTAGATCAAAAACAAATTAAAAAAGTGGCAATAGCAAGTAAATCTAAAAAACATTGACTTGTTTAAAAGAAAATGAATAAGAGAAATCCTTTTCTTGAAAGACAAACATGTCTTCCAGCTGCTGGTTAGAGAAAGAAGAAAATAAAGCCTCCATCTGCTCTTTCAGAAGTGATCTAAAATTCAGAGTCCGTACTTTTAGACTTTGCTGGATAAAACGGCCTCTTTCTGACTTACCCCCAAATCTTTCTTATTCATGATTTTGATGGCAACCTTCTCTCCAGTCAGGAGGTGTCGACCCAGCTTGACTTTAGCAAAGCCTCCTGAAACACACACACACACACA